TATGTAATTAAAATAACAAACAAGCTAATGTTTTCCTTCGAGATCATCAGTCTTTAACAAGACCATTCAACAACGAATGTACGTATTTGAAGCAGGTGACATCGGTTTGTTCATGCGCATTCAATTTTCACCTAATTATGAGTAATGTAAGGTTCAACTTAAGTTAAATATTTTACACCCCCAACACTTCTTCTTGCATCTCTTCTCAACAGATCTGTTCGTAGGATGAAACTTAGCGTGTTTCTCTGCGTAACTGTCATCAGTTTTGCTGCCGTTCTTAGCCATGTGACTGCGAGGTCCTTGGATGGAGCTTACAGGCCGCGACAGAGAAACGAAGGCAAGTTGTTGTTTAAGTTTGATCAATTTTGAGGTTAGGGGCTCAATAATTTTCAAAGCAACAGTTAGTAGATCGGCCTATAGATTCACAAAGATCACGAAGATGTTTCTGTTGTCTTGACAAAGAAAAATAGATGCAGGGGAAGCACGGGTAATGCAAATTACAAGATGCGAAATACAGAACCGAATTGACTGCAGCAATAGCTACTGTAACACCGGGGATCGTGCATCCAAAAATACATTTTGCATTTAGGAATATTCAAAGCGTAAATTCTTAATTTGCTCGCAAATAAATTCATTCAACTTATGAATATCTTTCATCGCAAAGCTTTGTTTGGTTAAAAGATCAATGTTGAAACCACTTTTTGCTAGTAAATTTTCTCGAACTGGGTAAAACGTTTGACTCGCGATATACAATGAAGATGCCATAGCCATGAATTTGTTCCTAAAGTGGCTCTAATTTTTCTTTAGTTTCTCCTGATGAGAAATGAAAAAAATTATTTGTATTCTTGCCCTATTAATTTCAAGCTACGACTCCTGAATCACCATGTGTTATTGATGTCATCTCATTTCTTTCTACGCATATCAATATAGAAAAAGACTCGGATCTATGGAAAAGAGGTTAGTAGCAGTTTTAGACCGTCGTTAACATTTTATTTTCTTTTAGGCAGTTTACAAAGTGTTTAAAGTCAATGTTGTTCCAGCGTTTTGTCCATAATATCAATATTCCCATTGCATCATGATACTAAATTTAATTGTGGATAGTTTTATTTTAATATCGTGGTGTAGTCAATGAAAAGACCGAAAAACATGCAAGCCAAGTTTTATTGTCATGTTAATATTAATTGGCCTCGTTAGGGCGCAAAAGAGAGAGCATAATTTGCTATTGGAGCGGAGATTCAGCCTGTTAATTAGCTTTTAATTCTAATTTATGAAGCGATCTCTCCTCGACGGCGTCAGTTGAAGTAATTTATCAAAAGAGAGAATTAAAAGTGTACATGTTTTTTAATTTTTAACGAATGACTTCCAGGCTGCCGAGATCGCTATTCCATTTGCAAGCAACCAAGGTATGCCAGGATCTGTCACCTGAGGAACAATCCGAGTCATGCTTTTGTTCAGGTGCGATGTCGCAGGACTTGTGGACTTTGCTAATGAGGTAAGAGAATTACTCATTACAATCTCTGTGAAAAATACCAAAATAGCCATTTGATCTTAGGCTATATTAGCCTTCTTAGCAGGTGATTAAATGTGTTTCTGTTTCATCTGTAGGTAAACCGTGAGTTCGTCTCAAGACAGGAGAGCCTTGGCGTCAATTTATGAACGGTTGAAATGTAGTCAGCACTTTGCGTAGCCATTTGGCTAAAAAGAATAGTTATTAACTAGAACATTTCTTTGCGTTGTTTTAGGAAAACTAGTCTCAAATGAAATAAAATACATTAGTATTTGCTTCGCCCTAATCATTTGTCTCAGTTGACTTTTATAATGATAATCATCATTTTTGAAATGTATTTTGTCCATCTTACACCCAAGTAATAAAAGCCAAGGATGCAGTCGTTAGTGTTGGAAACCTTACGGTCTGCTAAGCAATTCTCACCCTACAAAATGTATGGGCGCCACCTTTAATTTTTAAAGTAGAGAAATGTTCCTCCAGACGAGATCGGGGTACGGAAACACTTCGCAAATGACCGCGAACTTATACTGCGCTAGTGCTCGCTCACCTATAATGCGCAAAAGGATTTTTCTGTCTAATTCCACTTATGTCCTATGCTTTCTGGAGACTTTCAATTTATGTAAAACCAGCCGTATTGTAAGGAAGTGTTCTTGCACTTCACTCTAAGGCAACCAGAACATCCCCTTTGAATTTGCACACTGTGAGCATAGACAGAAAGTAAGCTTATTGTTTAAAGTGTCAATTTGTTCTTACTAAGAATTCCTCCCTGAGAAAACTACACCCTCGCATAACATTCATAAGAGAAAAATAGAATTCGAACAGATTAAGTAACAGGACTCTTGTCAACATACAATTGATATCTTTCTGTTTTAGGACTGACTACAAATTTTATCTGAATACTATAAAATATGCATGCAAAAAGTAACAAAAAATAAAGATTAAACAGTGGTTCGAAGTTACTAAGGTGAGTATAAGCTTTTGGTAGCCTTTGCCTTAGTGGCGACAGATGAATTGATAAAGTAAGAGGTGGGTTCGCGTCCAAGAAGAAACCGAAAGGCAAGAATTCAAATTTTTATGTGCATCCTTGAAATTGTTTGGCACGTCAGTAGCAGGCAGAAATTCTATAATGAAACTAAAAGTGTCAAATGGGTTGAACCAGCATTTTCATAAAATTTCTCAAACTTTCCTTGTTCGAGAAGCATTATCGGGCATACGATAGAGTACTTTAACACCATGATATTCAGCTGGTTGACAAAACGACACTAAAAGATGTAGTTCAATGCTTGGGAATTGCTAAAGGCAAACACGGACAGGTGGAAGCCTTTCGTGTATTTAACATATGTGTTACAACTAAGCGCAATCTGTGAGGTCGAGATAACTGGAAATTGGCTGAGTTTTCAACCTTTGTTTCTTTTATTTTGACGAAGAGAGGCGAAGAAAGATTTCTCTTATGGGAAAAAAAAGATTACTCTAACTAGATGAATTTTTAGGGTTTTTTTTTTAACCCATTGTAAATATGTATTTGCGATGCGACTGCTGGAGAAACTTCGAGTGAACTAATTTATTTATTAGTTGTTCTAGAAGGTAACAATTTCTGTACTGAACCGGCTGCAAATAGTATTTTATTCGGCAGGATCAAACGGGCAATGTTGATAAATCTTACACGCTCATGCAGGCGGAGTCAGCCTCATATAAAGGGACGTTTAAATTTAATGTGCTCGCTGTGCACGAACATTTCTTTAAACAACATTAAGATGTAGATTAGACAGGTAATAAGTTATACTCTTCTCTTTTACAGAACTAAATCGATTGTTTGTGGAAAAAATTCTCCTCAAGACCGTTTCTTTTTTTTAACAAAATAGGAGAAGAATCGGTTAGGGACGTAGCTAGGCTTAGAAGAAAAGTTGAAAAGTAATACATTTTAGGCCTGGTTATGATGTACAGTATATGTTTTGTCTAGTTTAGCCCGCACGCACGCTCAGTAATTCAATTGGATACAACTGGCGTACACAGCAAGGGTACGCACTAACAAAAGGCATGAATTCGAACGACTCTCGGTCTTACGGAGTAAGAAATAGAATTGGGGTTTCCGGACTGCGAAGATGCTTTATCGCTAAAAAATTCAATTTTCTTTCTTGGAAAGATCTAGTTGATAGATAATGAAACAGCCCTTCATTCAACAGTTGGAGATGTTTGAGTTCAAATAACAAAAGAAGCGGTCTTGAAGTTTACAAACAGTCATAGCCATGTTTGCCGGATCCCCGTTGTCTTGTAAAACGGGAAGTTCTCCGTATAGATAACGCTCTTTCTTTAAAATGTTTCCCTTCAAGGGTCTTGTCAAGTCGTGGAGATTTATTCATCTAAATTCCTGTGAAAATAGCGGAAGGCCGCTGATAACAGATGATATTAGTTATCTGTTAGAAATCAAATTTAACGCGTTAAGACAAATTGAAAACTCGAACTCTCTGTTGGAAATTAAACCACTTGTGTATAAGCGTTTCTTTTTTTTTTCAGTCTGTTCAAAAATCATAACAATAATGATAATAAAAAACTTCGGCCCACGCACACGATGATTCTATTGGTATGTAAAACGATAGGTAATCAATTGGTGTAGGAAAGCATATTCTTTTGATGATAGATATACATCTCGGTGTTTTTCTATTTTTCTAAAGAGCCCTTGAAATTGTCGGAGTGATTTTTATAACAATTTTGATCGTGATGACGTCCTGTTTGCACCAGATGTTCGCGAAATAATCAACACAGTAACCAGTAATTAGTCTTTTTACCTACAGAGCCCTGCAGTTAAGATATTGATTCTTGTCGTTGATCTTTACAAATTTCTTATTGCACCTTTTTAGGTAATTTATGCCTTAAAAACTTCTTTTTGATGTAGAACCTCGCCCTTATCTCACATCTTCTTGTCATTTTGACAGGTCAATGGAATAAGAATAATTTTATCTTGATCGTGTCTGGTTGAACGTGAGTCAGGGAGATAATCAGAATTGTTTTTAATCTCATACCGTACACCTTCAGCAGGAGACGATACCAGATGCGAATTGTAAATCCACACACAGATATAATCTTTCCAATTAACTGCATACGATTTATTTCACCACTCTTGCTCTGGCAAAGTTGCGTACTTCATTCGTCCAGTTGCCGGTAGAAAAAATGAAATGCCAAATAGTTCTTTGCTATTTCATCTTGGTTTTAATCTCTACGATTTATACAGTCAACAGCTCTTCAATAACACAAGATTTCAACGAAGGTACGATCATAAATTCATTCTATTTCACTAATCCCATGAGGTTTGAAAGTATGAAGAGTTCTTCGATAGTTGCATGTGAGGTAAAAAACTAGGCAATCCGCAGAGACAGGACCACATATCACATCTTGAAGTTTACTAAGAAAACCGTTTGGATTAGTTTTATGGTAGAGAAAATCTGGCTGATGGTGGAACATTCAAAATTTTCTTTTAGTGTAGATTTTTAATCCAAGTGACTCCGCCTTGTTCTACGATTTCCTTTTTAATCACCTTCACTTTAATATCTTAACACTGAATAATATCTGACTTCATTCTACTTCTCTTTCGTTTAACATTTTTATTCAATACAATTAAAACTGTGACCATCAACGAGAGAAGTGTAGCCTGATTTTGTAAACTACAAATTCGAGATTCCTATAAGTAGAATTATTCAAAACAGAACTGTAGCCTTTGGAAAGTGCCCTGATTTTGACCTGTGCTTCAAGTTGCGGGCTCGATGCTTGAGAGCTGATAGAAACTCAAATGAGTATTTTCTCCTTCATCACGTAACTACATGGGAACACCTTAAGCCGTGATCAGGTAATTCACGAATTAACGCCATCCCGCCGACTTGGTTTTCAAACTGGAGCAGTCGTTTGATATCGCAAAGCACCCTTACGACGGAGTTAATTAATAATTTATGTCAAACTCCATTGCGACTTTTTCCGTTTATCTTTCAGGGGAAAGTTGGCTATCAAAACGTGGCGGCAGAGGTAAGATATAACTTTGGCTATCCTCTTACTTTTTGTAATAGACCAGCTTCTGGTCATGGAAAGGCAATTTCAGAACACGTTAGGGAAAAAAAGTGGTGAGGGGGTGTTTATATATCTGTCCGAGTAAGTAATTTCTGTTAGTCTTCTTTATCTCCTGACCAAGAAGTGGAGATTTCCTTAAGATACACTCAATTTGTCTACACAATCACCCAAACATTTATTCCAAAAGATTATTTCGGGGAATTCAGCATGGTGGCCAAAAAATATGTATTACTTTTTTAGATACTTTTAACCGCGCCACGGTTGTTGTTTTTAGTGTATTGCGTTACATTGCGTTACTACTGTAAGGACATTTTCTTTACGTACTCAATCGTGTTGTAAATCTACATTCCTATGTAAAGGCAATTTAACTAATCGCGAGTCTTGTTTTGGAAAATCTATTAGCTTGATCACTGAATGAAGGACAGTTGAATTAGAGCAATGAAAGGAATCATTTGATCAATGAATAACTCTACTTTCTGTTCGTTGACACGCCGGTAGGCCGGAAAGCAAGAGGCAGCTGACCGATGGTGTTCATAAGGCCTGTGTGACTCCTGCCATTCGCTGGCGCTTTTAAATATTTTGCCCTTGAAGTTAAGCTCTTATTAGGATACCTCTTAATGACTTTCCAATGTAATGTAATAATAAGGGTTAGTTTTGAGATGTTATTTCCCCATCCGTATGTTCTTGAGGTTTGGCAAAGCCGGATGAGATCGTGTCACAAAAGGCAATATTTTCTTCTGTGCGCACGCACGCTATTTTCGCTGTTTTAAGTATAGTACTTTTCTCTCGCAGCAAATCACTTCAGAGACATGTTTGTCAATGTAATTCTTGGAACACGCAGGTAGATGACTCAGTGCGTAAATGATGTCACTATCAGCATGATGTGCCGCAGCATTACTATAATTTAGATACACTAGGTTTACATTCTTACCGAAAAACAAAACAAAACAGAAATTAAGCGCTTTTAATGAAAGGAGTTAATCCTAAGTCTGACTTAAGGTGGTTAGTACTAGTTTCGTCACGCGGGGAACAGGTCACTCTTGCGTCACGCGTGAGAGAAACGTACGAAAGAAGCGCGAGATACCGAGGTTTTTAGACATGCGGAGTGGGTTGCGTGTTTTTCCACTTTGGCTTACACTGATAAAAACAAAAACAACTTTGCATGGAGTGTTTTTCCTTTTTCAAAATAAAAAGGATATGGAACTTTGCGAGACTATGGCTAAACCAGCATACTTTGCTTCAATAACTGATTCTTAATTAACCTTTTGACCTTTGAGAGTAACTAGCATCTAGTACTTTCGTACAAAATGAATTGAATTCAATATTGAGGTCACAAGAATAAAGGAAAAGATCACCAACTAAAGAAGCTCTTGATTATTAATCTAATTCTCTTCATCAGCACGTTAAGGAATGTATAAAGGACAGTTTTCAGAATATGCATACTGATGTTAGGGTGTAAAGAGTAAGTTTTTAGAGAAACTGTGGTGTTAAATAAAACCAAATGACTCTAACCAGGCACGTTCTTCCCAAAAATAGTAAATAAATGATCCTTTCAGAGCTCTGATCCTCACCTCTCGATCTAGAGTCTAATACTCCGACCATAGAGACGCTACAGTCTCCCACAACTAGAAATGTATTTAATATAAAATCGCATTAGTGAATAAAATCTCGCATTCTGATTGGTTAACGAAGCGAGGTATTCAGCGTGGAATTGCGAGGTGTGATATTGTTACGCATCTACATACACATAACAACTATAAGTAATGCTGTTTTCTGTTTTTCTTTTTCTTATTTTTATTCAGTTATACGATTCAAGGAAAATCCATTACTTGACGCATCAATTTCGCGTTACGTTGCACTTGAAAACCGATAGCGCATTCATCGCTTGGCGATTCGTGCGATATCGGTTTTCGCATGCAATTTAATGCGGAATTGCCTCGTCAAGTGATGAATTTTCCTATGTTACTTATATTTTTTAAACATTCATTTGCAGTATGCCGAGATCTTCTTCCCAGAAGATGTAAGAAGAATCGATTTACGTGTCTTCGCAAAAGTAGTGCATACGCTCGTTTGTTTCGAATGAAATGCCGTAAAACTTGCGGATTATGTTCTTAAGGTAAGTAACTTACTGGTGTAATACTACTATTAAACATCAGATATTTGGAACTTGGCACCGCGTTCTGTGGACTTGGGGTTCATTATGTTCGTATCATGGTATAATGAATATAAAATTAAGATTGTTGGAGCTGAAAATCTTTTCATTGACCCTTTTTTTAGAACGTGAGGAGATCTCAAAAGAACACTAAAACAACCAATAATAATAACAACAATAATTACAATAAATAAATAATTACAAATAATTACAACCAGTAATAATAATAATTTTCTCGATGAGGAAAATAGTTTACAATTAGAATAAAACTTTCAAATCCTTAGTTTATCAGGACAAGCAGAAATTAAGCAACCAAGCAGTTGTTTATTTGGTTATATCAACTAAGTTGAAATTGTAAATTGGCCACCGTAAAGAGTTAAAAAGCTGACTTTTCGAGCAAATTACCTTGTTACCCCCACCGACGCAGCACCACAGTTTCTTTAGAAACTTTCACCCTTCAAACAGTTGTTTATTTGATTTGATTTGGTTTTTTTTTTTTTTTTACTTAACTGTGCAGGGAGTCAATCATGAGAAAACTATTGGGTAACTCAGTTTCCTAGTTTACAATTTAATGTTACAATCTTAATAATACTGAATACTTTCAATCAATCGATGGTGTTGTGAAATAAAAGAATTATTATAATCTATTACAATTGAGTGATTTATGTTGAGTGAAAAAACGTTGTTGGGAGGCCGGAAGGAGATAAAAACAAAACACGTGCGCGAGAGCGAAATGAACAAAGAGGCTAGCAACTGAAAACATTGCAAAGTCTAGAGGCTGGATGCACATAGCATAGTTACTGTGACCTTATCTCTTACGTGTTCCATATGGGTTCGAGATGAATTCTGGACCGTTGAAAATTGTCGTTGTGCATGTAAAAAATGTATCAGAGCACCTCTGTATGTATCAGTGGTGTGGAATACCACTTGGTAATTGATAAATACACTGACAGATTTCCGATCTAATTTATTTGATTCGCTATATGTCAAAATGGAAAATTGACGAAATGATCAGTTTTCGCCAGTTCACTTCTGTTCATCAACGGTCCATCTTTGTGCGTGCTTAAGGGATATTTTTAGCAGAAAGAAATTGGGGAAATTTTTTTTTTTATAGGGAGAATAGGAAAAAAGTTCAGCCAGCTGATATGACTAATGATATTTTTTCTTATCTCCAGAAACTTCCCAAGACTGCAAGATTTTGAGGGAAGAAAGGGCGACCTGAATGCTACATGTTTCTAGCATATAACCTCATTGAAGAATTTTTGTGTAAAAATTCTCACCTACTATACTCACAGTTTCCAAATAAATGTGTCAGGTACCGTCACGGATTACACCACATGAAATTAATTAAAATGCATATTAAACCAAAGTTTTGATTATATTTTCTGACTCGCACAGGAAATCCTAACATGTACAAACGCTTCCGTTGCACCCACGCGTCTCCTACCTGTCCAATTAAACAATAAACCTCACTTTATGTGGGTTTACTGGCGTAATAACTCACTCGTGATGATGGGACAACAAGAGCAAAAATTGTAAATCTCTTGCCTCCAGCTTACGACTTATACAAGTTTTTCTCGTATTTATAAAATAGTCTTCAATTTTCCATGGGTTTGCAGTTGCTGTAAATGATAGGTCTTGACCAGTCGAGATGTTCATGGTATCTCTGTTACTTTAGAAAAAGAAAAAGTAAACGATTGCAAGACAGATATGGATTTTCTCGCATTTTTCATACTCTAGGCACGTGCATGCAATCATGAAACTGTCCTACAGGTTCCTTACTGTGGACCAAAAACTAAATACCGGAGTAACTATTAACTACCAGTCACCGCCAGTTACTATTACCTCAACCGTTTCACGCTGCCGATTTGGTTTATCGGTAACATAGTTGATGCTTGAGTTTATACTCGATCCCTCGTCTCATGAACCCATTTGAGAGATGATTTTAGGGAAAATCTTATTCGCATGCATAACTACCCAGATAAGCTATTCAGCTGCGAGTTTTGCCAAAATAGAATTTTAGTCCCAATTCATTTCTGAAATAAGTGATGCTTTTGACTTGTCCCTAGAAAGGCGGCGAGTTAATCCTCGTCGGGAAAATGGAATAGAAAAATTGCACGAGGCAAAGCTCGAAAAAATTAGGCCTCGCTGGACAAAGCCGTTAAGGATGAGATTCTAAGGCACGTTGAATCCAAGTATCCGTTGATTATCGATACAAGAAAATCTCTAAGGTACGATCCGACTGCGATATTACAGAACTAAATTAAACAAGGTCGGCCAAATTTGCATACATTGTAGACAAGAAAAACCATCTTGAAAATAAAGTTTGGTTTATCACCAATTATAATACGTATAAGCTACATGCTTTCATGACGGGCATTAGTAAAGAACACAAACAATGCAGTAAATAAGAGCATATTTGAAACGCTTTAGTGAGACCATTACAGCCACTGAGAACAATCGGATTATCTACTCACGTTCGAAAAGGGTAACAATAAAAAGTGCCTGTATTTGACAGTTCCGTGCACAGCTGAGATTTAGTATCGCCGCCCACAGAAAATGTTTTATGTAAATGACTCATAACGACTTAACACGGCTAAAATATAGAGCACACCTGACTTAGATGCGGTTTTATGGTTTTTGTTCCTCAATTTTCCAAGGTCAAATTGATCCTTTTCCTTTTCGACTCGCGAAGAAAGGATGTGAAATGGTAGCAAGTATCAGACTTAGATTTAGACAGATTGGCATTCAGGACCGATCAAAGGCCATCTTTAATGGAAGTCTATGCCTCATATTTACACAATGTAATAATTTGAGACGTATATGTAAATATGGTTTGAATAAGGTGTTAGCTTAAACCATTGGACTATAAAGATGTCTTTCTTTACCAGAACTGTAGTTCATCGCGAGTTGATGTACCGTGCGGCGGAGCACAAAGCACTCAGTCACTTTTTAAACAATACCTAAGGGAGCAGATGATTTACTCAGTGTAATGAAAATAAATGTCTAAATGGACTCGTGCAAGGAAGCATGTACACTATGACGTAGAAATGTTAATTCCCTTTCTATGGCATAATGTTATTCCATACGAGTGCGAAAAGCAAAACTCTACTTTTGAATTGGCAGCCTCTTAATTACTTCTCGCGTTAAAGTTTAGCTTGGGAGTTCCTCCAAGACATTGAGAAAAACGTCATCTACATTCAGGCCATAAGCTGCTCTGTACCAAACAGTGCTATATTACAGATCTTGTACTGAAACACACCTGCACACAATTGGAAAAGATACAAACCATCCAAGATGTAATGTTTGTCGAACTTTGCGTTCTAAATCAATAATATCTATTTTTAATTTTTTCTTGAGTTTTTCGTCAGTTTTTTAACATGTTTAAAATTTAAGTGCAATTATTTTTTCCCTTCAAATGGCCATCGTCTCCCTAACAAAGAGAAGACTCCCATCACAATTAAATCCAAAATACCCCATCTTCAAATCGTGTTAAGAATGAAAAGTATAGAAAATTGAGCTTAGGAAAATTCCTTATTATTCGCGCAGTGTTTTTGGCTTATTACAAACATTGAATGCTTCTTACGAGGATTAAGAAATGCAGCCAATTGGCAAGCAATAACAATTCACAATTTGCATATTCTCATTAGGCATGCAAATTTTTGCCAGCACGGAGCAGTGTAAGCCCGTGGTCGCTTTAGCTAGAACGTAAAAGAAAACGCGAAATGAAAAATGACCAATTTCAGCGTTTCTGCGATGGAGGCATCAAGAAACACAGATAAACAGGAAATGTACTTGGTAGTGGTCACCTGTACACTGATCGCAATACTAATTACACTCACAATTCTCGGAAACACTTTAGTGATGGTTGCGTTTTACCTTTGTAAAGAACTGCGTACAATTACTAACTATTTCCTTGTGTCGCTCTCTCTGGCTGATTTGATGACAGCTTTACTAGCAATGCCAATCTTTTTGGCTTCTCGAGTTACATCGGATGGCGCTATGTTTCCCGGAGGGGCAGTATTCTACGATGTTTGGCGATCAATGGATATCCTTTGTGGCACGGCATCAATATGGAACCTGTGCTTGGTTAGTTTAGACAGATTTCTTGCAGTCGCATCCCCGCTTAAGCACTTAGTTATTCTCACACCTACTCGAGCTAAGGGAGTCATTGTGCTTGTATGGGCAGCCTCTCTTGGTCTCTCTGGAATTCTACACGTGAACTGGAACCATAAAGGAGTGTTTATCACCATTATCAGCTTTTTCCTACCACTTATAATGATCATTTTTTCTTATGCCAAGATTTACCAGGTCACCACAAGAACTTGCGTCCTACGGCGTAGCGGGGGTATGCAGCTTAAAAGAGACATTCGCTCGGCTAAACAAATGGTTTTGGTTATCGGCGTGTTTATTCTATGTTGGGTCGGTTTTTTTGTGTTTACCCTTATCCTTTCCACGAAGCGATCCACTTCTCCTTCGATAAATCCTGGTGTACTAGACTTTGTTAAGTCTCTAACCTACCTTAACTCGTGTATAAATCCTCTTTTATTTACTATGGTCAGTAGAACTTTTAAGAAAGCCATTCTCGATATTCTTCGATGCAGGATACCGCGTATAAAGCAGGAAAGATGTAAGTTATTTGGAGGAAGGCGAAAGCATTTTGGGTCATCTTTAGCTTCGTCATTTTCAAGACAGTCGTCGGCTAGTTTTAAACGAAACTCAGACGCTGCAGGGCTATGCTTTCGAAAGACTGTTACTCATATTGAGAAAGAAACATGTGTTTAATATAACTGAAATATTTATTGCAAGTGCCGAAAACAGTGCGCTTAAGTCCTAATAAAGTCTCATTTCTCATTCTGGTTTCGTGTTTTAAAAGAACAACTTGTGTTGTTGGGAGTATTTAATTTTTTTTTGTCCTGTGAGGACGACACTTCATAACGCTTATCGAAGTTTAAAACAATTTTGTTACTTTTCGTGTGGTAATTTTTATGAAGAATGAAACAAGTCATGTATTTTTCTTTCTGCGGTCAAGATTCGGTCAAGGAATTTCAGAAACAGAGGCCCATCAATGGAATAACTCGGCAAGCTTGGTAGAAAATTTTACCGTTTGAAAAGAGAGACAAGGCAAAAAAAAAAACATGAATGAAGATTAGCTTTGGTTCATCTTTTACAGAATATTCCACTGTCAGACTGAACATTCATTTCCATATCTAGAAGATCGTGAAGTGTTTGAAAACTAAGAAACAAAAACGTAATGAATGAAAACTGATTGTTTGCCTCTAAAGTTACTTGTCTGTGACATTATTACAATAAAAGAGCGCAATTGTGTTAATTTTGTCAATATGGCACTTTAATAAAAGGAATCTTGGAAACCAAAATTCATTGGTTGGCAGTTCATCCATATTCATTCTTTTTGTTTTTCTTTAGAGCTTTTACTTCTTTCGCTTATACAGTTTTACATAAACATTTTAATTCTTTATATTACGATATTATTGCGTAGAGCACCTCGAGGGCTGGCCTTGTAATGTTCAAATTTATTTTCTTTCCATGCGGTTGAACAATTGTGCGGAAACAATTTGCGATCATCTGAGGCGATTTCACCGTGAATAAGCCTATCAGCAATTATTTCCTCAGCAGATGAAATTCAAGTCATCAACGTAGCAAGAAAATGCTTAATCCCCACGCACGGATTAGGCGCTTATCTATTCCAAAAATTCAAAGTTATACTTGAGATTTTTCGTTTATTTAAAAAAAAAGAACATTAGCCATAATCATAATAATAATAATAAAAACAAAATTAAGGGAAGGATGTTTTCAAATGTTTACAAATTGATTTTTTGTTAAAATCGGAATCAAATGACTTTGAGGTGTTTTCGAAGCTTTTTTTTGCTGAAAATTCAAAATTCGGCTTCGGCGTATTGATATATAAACTGTCAAATATCGATTATATCTGACAAACTGATGTCAAACGATGATCTGAAGAATATTTTGGAATGATAAACAAAGTTGTCCAACTAATCGACCGATTTGATTGCTTTTCCGCAGTTGGCGGGTTAATCGCACCACCGATGAATAAATAAAAAAACTCTCTCAAGCTCATAAGGTTTCTTATCTAACCAGTCGGCCATGTTGCCATGGGAGACCAAGGCAAGCAATTCATTTTCGCTGATCCAGTTAACTAAAAAATTGATAAATGAACATCTCGGAAGTTCTTGCCTTCCAGAATAAATGTGCTGCACCAGAAATTTTCAAAATGGGACATTTAACGTTAGCTTGGTAAAGCAAAGCTCTATCGGACCTTAGTTCCTAAGACTGTCAGAATTTTTTATTCTTCATATAAGGACAAGACCAATCAGCCCAGTTTGGTTTAAATACATTCAATCACTTTGTTTTCGATTGCGTTGTCACTCATACATACGGGGGTTTTTATCCTATAGGCTCTCTATAAAAGTGAATACCCTTGTTTAATAGGTATGCCAGTAAATGCATTATGGAATAGGTAATATTACATGGAAATTCTGCGATATAAAATCTTGTTGTTTTGGCTTTCCCTCGTGACTTTTTATTTCAATACAAAGTTCGTGAAAACTGTCAAATTTGAGCCACATTCTTGTCAAGAATGGCCTTCAGATGAGGTCGTTAAGGCAAACTTCTGATTGGCCTCCACCTTCTCTTGTAGTGTTGCATTGTTCATGTCAAGACACAAGATGTTCTCGCTTTTTGTTGCGAAATGAAATAAATCCAGCTTGAGTACAAAGCGTTACGTATGTGAATGTTATCTAAAAAATTAGCAAAAATGTTTTTTATTCATAATGATGCCTACTGCCATAAGTTCCTCCATTTTTTCTCTTTGGAGGAAAATTGTTACGATCTTTTAATTCATTAAAATACAGTGGAGATTGTTATATTCACAAGTATCAAATACTTCCGAATGATGTATTTTCTAAGTGAAGGTTGAAAATCAATATTTTACTTAGTGAGACCGCTGACCAGGGCATATGTCTTTTGCAGTCCCTTCCGTACACTTGACCAGGCTAACGCACCGGTCGCACGGCGTTCATGCACGAGTGGATCAATTCTTGCCAGCCTTACACCAATTTCCCGCGCCAAAATTCAATAATAAACAACCCCTGTCCCGCAAAAACCGATATCGGTTTTCGCGTGCAAGTTAACGCGGAATTCCCCCATCAGTTGATAAAGTCTCCAAGGTAGTTAAAAAATGGGGTTTCTGGCTCATTTTGAGTTTACACAAGTCACCCCCTGTGTAAATTTCACGCACTCTCACGTACTATTCATCTAAGTCGCCTGCAATCTCATAACTCCTCTCCTCGGGACATCGTTTAGTGTCGATAGGTGTATGTGCTCATCATGTCATCGCTATCCTCTTATCGTTGTTTGCACTCAAAGCTATCCTGCGAATCGTCCTGGTACATGCGCATATTTTAGTGCCTAAATTTAAATTTCTGGCTCACTGCTAATTTAGCTAATATCCACCGATAACAGATTTATTAAAATAGTCCCAATGATATAAATTAATATTTTAAAAATGGGAAATATGATGCGATAAATGAAAACCGATATCGTGAGATCTTTGAATACATTTTTGGAGAAAAGTCTTAGTAAAATCTGAGTGGTTCGTAAATTATCAGACAGGCTTTCATCTGAAGGTTGATGGCCGTAAGAAAAAATTAAAATTACATATGTATACGAAATAATTAAAGATTGCAAGTTTTCAAACCCATTTCTTCAAACAATAAAACAATTTATGTATTAGGAGGAAAAAGACAGAATGAAGAATAAGAGATGTAAAAGTAAGGGAGTGACATTAAGCAGAATACCATACATAATACTATATTGATTATCATGATCTCAAAGTTTTCATCACGGAGAGATTGTCATCTTGAACGCAGTAGTAATTCACAAAAACAAGGCGAAACTACTGGAGGTGGTTCAGTAACAGGAGGAACTATCTAAAGCTCTTCTCGAACAAATCCACGCTTTGGATCATCTTTCAAATTGTAGAGAACAGGCTTACCTTAATTCAAAAAGGACTTTTCGATATTTCAGAGACCAGACTGGATATGTAGTTCTTCTTTGACCACCTTCCGACTCGCCAGCGGCACAAAAAATACTTCACGTTCTTGAGTCAAGTCTCTTCTCTTTCGAATCAATAGGTCAAGTAGTTGAACTCTTTGCTCCAACAGCCTTATTTTTGACGGCATCAACGGGTCTCTTTCCCGTTAACAGGGTCACCTCACGATTCAAAGCTGAAACAACTTCTGGAAGCCCCCTGGATCTTTCTCCAGATGTGAAGTTCATCCACTGACTGTATAGAAAACTGAAGAGACTTTCACTCAAAGTTCAATTGAAAAGCTTGACGATTTCTTGATCTCAAATTCCCGCTTCTTATCCTCGTATCATTCTTCGCCATCTCTCTCGTGACATCACCCATGAATTCGTGTCCAGGATCAACCTGCAGAACATTAGACCATCTTAGAGGATCTCGCTTATAAGTTCTCTGAAATGCTCTGGAGAATTTAGAAGAATCCTTTGAAGTGGAATGTTCAGCATATCTGTAGACATTGTTCCTTATCGGAAGTCTATCTTTAGGCAGGCAGTTGGGGATTGGAGGTAAAAAATTGGCCTTGGGATATGTTTAGGGGTAGGCAAATCAATCTGCCAGATAGCTTGCTTCATCAGCCAAAGCTTTACAGAGGTCTTTACAACATCATTGGTTTAATTCTGACCGGAATTTTGTTTGCTGCTGTGCCGTTAGCTAAAGATATGGAGGCTGTGGTTGTAGTTTATTTATAACAGCCATCACTTCGTACCTTTTGTAATACAGTTCATCCAGTGAAGGAACTTATGAGTTTGCAAGTTCAGTACTTTAATTTGGTTACAATGGATATATGAAGTTCATATATTTTGAACTGCGGTATTAAATACGTATGATGCACGATCCTTCGCAGTAGATAGTGCTATTTATGCAATAGCGAAAATCAGACCTGAAAAAAATCAGGCCCGTACGGGATTCAAACCACTCTGCGCTCTACCAATTGAGCTAACAAGCCAACTGGGAGCAGGCCGTTTAGTTGATTCGTAATAAACCGGTGATGATAAATCAGATACAATGGATATATGAAGTTCATATATTTTGAACTGCGGTATTAAATACGTATGATGCACGATCCTTCGCAGTAGATAGCGCTATTGTTGCAATAGCGAAAATCAGACCTGAAAAAAATTAGGCCTGTACGGGATTCGAACCACTGACCTCTGCGATACTAGTACAGCGCTCTACCAATTGAGCTAACAAGCCAACTGGGAGCAGGCCGTTAAGTTGATTTGTAATAAACCCGTGATAATAAATCAGATACAATGGATATATGAAGTTCATATATCCATTGTATAATATGAATATCTGTCTAATCTCTTAGAAAATAGCTAGGGTTAAACTCCCTAGTTTCGCATAAATTCATAAAACTCAAAGCGAAAATCGAATATTAAGGAAAAGTGCATGCAATTTAAACTCTGGAATAAAGATATGGAGAGCTATACAGCAGTTTACAAAGAACAATTGGGTGTTCTAAGAAAAGTGAATGTATTTCGGTTTGATACGTCACACTTTTGTAACTAATGGATTTGAACATGAAAAATGAAAGATTGTAAAGTGTATCCATTCATTCATAACTTTTAATAGATATGTATAAATAAAAACACTCAAAATGTAATAATTCCATATAATTTCAACCTATAGCATGGAAATCTGATGAGCAGTTTTGTAT